CTTAGGTATCACGAAGTGATGCACAGATTTCTGTGTATCATCAACTGATGCACAGATTTCTGTGTATCATCAACTGATGCACAGACTTTCCGTATATCAAGGAATGATGCAAAAACCCTAACCCTAACCCTAGCCCTAATCCTAACCCTAACCCTAACCTAGGGTCCCTGTATACAGAGAGTTGCGCCATGACGAGTCGGAAAAAATCGGTCACGTGATGGCTGGACGGCATGTACGTTGTTTCCAAATTGATCCACACCGCTGCCGCTTAAGTACAGCGCTGTATGGATATGCTGTACAATGGTCCGTAGTAATTAATTAGACTAATCGTGCTTCAATAAACTCAAAATTTACAGAGATTATAGCTAAGACATGTGTCTATGTGTATCTAGATTTCTAGAACTGCAAAGCACATGTTACAGCTGCGAGCGAGTGGAGAGTGGAACGCATTTATCTTGTGAATTACAGTTGTCATTATTCTTCCAAAATGACTAGCTGCTGTGTTTACACTAAGAAAGTGTACAATTAAGCTATTATATGGCGTGAACGATTTGAGTTACTTTTCTAGAAATCTAGATACATATAAACACATGTGTTATCTATGATCTCTGTGATTCTTGAGTTTATTGAAGCGCGAGTGGTTTAATTAATTAGCAAGTATCTACGCGCGGTATCGCACAGGTTAATATATATACGCACGGCTATGGGCGGTAAGAAAGTCTACAATTAAACTATAATATGGCGCGAACGATTTGAGTTACATTTCTAGAAATCTAGATACACATAGACACATGTCTTAGCTATAATCTCTGTGAATTTTGAGTTTATTGAAGCACGATTAGTCTAATTAATTACTACGGACCATTGTACAGCGTATCCATACAGCGCTGTACTTAAGCGGCAGCGGTGTACGTACGTGGATCCATTTGGAAACAACATGGAGTCAAATCCTGAGTTGGCGCAACTCTCTGTATATAGGGACCCTACCCTAACCTTAACACACTTCGTGATACCTAAGCCTAAGGTTATACTTTATGACTTAGGGTTAGGGTTAGGGTTTTTGCATCATTCTTTGATATACGGAAAGTCTGTGCATCAGTTGATGATACACAGAAATCTGTGCATCACTTCGTGATACCTAAGGTGCCTAAAGTGGATTTGCGCCGGACTATTGTGCCGTTGGAAGGAAGTGTTGGCGTTTTCGCCATACGACCAGTGCGTATGGAAATTATGTTGCCGCTAAAGCGCATATAAGCCAGAACTTGTCTTGTACGACCTGGTTATCGACGACGGGAAGAACAGCAGAATACGATCACGACGAAGCGAGGAACAGCAGAATACGATCACGACGACGCGAGGAACAGCAGAATACGATCACGACGACGCGAGGAACAGCAGAATACGATCACGACGACACGAGGAACAGCAGAATACGATCACGACGATGCGAGGAACAGCAGAATACGATCACGATGACCCGATCGAGGAGAAGTCTGAGGAATGCAGGTTTTTGTAGCGAGATTCAGCAAATCGGCCGATTGCCGGATAATGCACGGAACATGCAGACTACGGTTGATTACGACTCACTAGTACAGCTTGTCACAGACCACAGCAGCTGAGACAGCACCCGAGATATTTGCTCGATAAGGGGCCTACCGCTGGCGACCAAGCAAGCAAGACCGCAGTGGATGAACGACACTGCAATACGTATTACGGGTGAGTGAAGCAATCTTGTGTCGGCAGCTATTTAAAATTTTCGTAATTAAAATGGAAACTATAGTTTTCAAACCGCATGTTTTATAATACACGAGTGTGTTAGCGAAATACTAAAGCACTTTTCCTACCTATAACTCCCACCATCACCACCACCCACACCACCACCGCCTGGCTTACGAGTTTCTAAACTGCGTCGTACAATGCCCGAATTCGTACGTAAATACGTAGAATAGTACCAATCTGTGTAGTTAAGAATGCGTCAGGTAAGCATTTACTTGCCGCAGAAGGCAAGGTTGGCTGTTATAAAGCCATGCCGACTCAAGGCATATAGTCTTAAGGGAATGAGTCGAGGTGCTAGTTAGACGCACCAGTTAATGAAAGACAGCGGGAGATACTCCCCTAGAATAGCGGAAAATGGTCCACGAAAGTAAAAGTGAGACGATAGCGAGAGTAATTCGAAATGACGGTACTTTAACGAGGCCAGCAGAGCCCGGAGCCTATAGTGTAGCAGCGCAGCAAAATGCACTCGGCACGCCATTCAATTGTAACCGCTGAGGGCACCTACGTGGTTATTTTAATCTTATATACAGGCGTTAAAAATGTCACCGATGTTAGATAAATTGCCACTCACATTACAGTGTAAGGTTCACTGGGAATGTACCCTTAGGGCCCAAAACACCCAGCCACCCGCCCACCCACCATCTACCTGTTTTATTCTCAAAAGTGCATGTTATGTTATTTCGATGTTCATACTTGCGAAACGCGGAACAAATTTATAATAATGAAGGCCGACACAGTTGTTTCACAGCCTATCTGAATGAATGTATATATGTATGTATGTTGCACAGCCTACCAGGCATTAATTTCTCTGAAGTGAGCAAACGGGTATTTTTTATTTTAAATGGAGCAGGGCTTTTTGGTAGAGAAGTGTTACATATGGTTAACATGTTAGGATGCAGACGATGAGTACAACGAACGGAAGACGTGCAGCATCTGGTGGAATTACACCGACAGATGCTACTGTACTGTCCGGAGTTGGCCCCGTTGCCACGACCGACTCCACCGCTGCCACACCACGGGGACCCCTTCGCCGAGGTTGCGCGCGCGCACACACGACGTCGGTTTGGAGGGGGCCTACTTGGATAGTTGCTAAGTTGGTTCGTTGGTCGCTGGTTATTGTGGTTTAAACATTGAGCTGGAAAAACCTCTCCTCTCTCAAACTAACGGGTTATGGCAGTAATATCGAAGTGAGCAAACGGGTATTTCTCCCATGCAATTTATGGTCATATATTCATTCTCTGTAAAAAAATTATCTCTTTTCTTTTACACGTTTTTGTGTGCCATATTTTGATTTACGATCGTACGCGTATACCATGTTATTCCTTTATGAAGAGGCGGTTATACGCCAATTGTAACTTTTGTACACGAGTTATCACTTTTATACGCGAATTATAACTTTTGTACGCGAATTATAACTTTTGTATGCGATTTTTCACTTTTACACTCAAACTTTAACTTTTGTACGCGACTTTTACATATTGTACGCCTTTTTTTTTAACTATTGTACGCATTTTGTGGTAGGCGATTGGTGACGGTTCGACGTGATGTCCTCGCGATGGGACACGATATGTTTTCCACGATTGTACGCGGATACTATGTTCTTAGAATTACTATAGTGATTAGCAGTATTTTAGGACGATGAGGTTACACGCGAGTTTTTACGGAGATACGGGTTTTGACGATGTGATATAATGTTACGGTTGCACTGTTGCGGGTTGACTATAGTTATGCTATTGTGCGGTAGCGGTTATGTTATCAGTATGGTACGATTATATACTTAAGCGATTACAGTTACAATCAGACATATCACGATGATAGTACAGCCCTTCACATTGTTCGGGACTCACATAAGCCATCCGCTCAAAAAATTCATCGAGGGTTTTCTTCCAATCGGGAGACTGGGCTAAGCCGATTTCATCGACTTTTCTTATGGCGGGGTGAAATGTAGTACGGCGTTTTAGCTTTGAGATGGAGACATGGGGAATTTGGCACCTTGCTCATGCAAATGTTCAAGGACGGCCGGCGATGGACCCAGAAGACATTAGCTGCATACTTTAGAGCACACATAATTCAGCGTGGACAGAATGTATTTTAGATTAGCTACATACTTTAGAGCACACATAATTCAGCGTGGACAGAATGTATTTTAGATTAGCTACATACTTTAGAGCACACATAATTCAGCGTGGACAGAATGCATTTCAGAATGGTACGAACACATTAACTTCAACAAGAATGCGACGCGGTTTATCAAACGGCCATCATTAAGCAGGCAACGTCAACGGTGGCCGGCGCTCCTACCTGGTACCTTCGGACATTAGTCGCGACCGGTCATTATATCCACTATCCGCGTCATAAATTAGTTTAAGTCTAAACAGGTCGCGGCGGGGATGCTAACGGCTTAAAAAGGATGGGTTTGGGGAGAAAAGAGGGAGACGACGGCAACCTCTAACCGGTACGTGTACACTAGTTTGACTGTGCTGTTTATCCGTATTTATAATAAAACTGTAGTTGTCACAGTGTATACAACTGTTACGTCCTACTGTCTACGTTCGAGATATATTCTACACTACAATCGCAACAAGGTATATTATTAAGAATAACATTATAGGAATTTATATTTATAGGTTTTTGATATCTATTATACTATATATATATATAACGTTTTTTTCAACATAGCCGCTTACAGAACGTAATAGGCTATGATGATTAGGCTGAGCACTTTTTGCAGGTGTTGGCGTTTGGCTCGTTTTACATATATATATATATAGGTTTGGTGAGTGCGGTTATTTCTCTATCTCACATGATACCTATCCGATTAGAAAAAAATCGCCGACGCCACTTTTCTTTCTTGACTGTTCTAGCTGGCATGCTATTGTTATGAACGAGGCATAATTAGAAGTCGTTCTCTGGTATCATAGACCACCATATATAATATATATATATATATATATATATATATATATATAAACTTGTGAATTTCAAATGATGAATTTTCTTGCAGAAATCAAAATAAATCAAGGAAATATGGCGATGTTCCTTCCTCCACAGATATTGCATGCACGCTTAATCGTTTGGGCAGCAACAATTTGCTGAAGTTATTGCTACATTTCAGATTCCACTAATAGTTGATCAAACCCAACAGTTCCATATAAGCGCGTTCATAAGAACTTGACCATTCGTACCTAAATAATTTAAACCCGGCAATTTGTCGTCTGTTTCAGGATGAGAACCAAGATCTCCATCTCAGCAGACAGCTTGCATAGTTCATTAACCGGCGCTGCTGCCATCACCGATCACATGGCGGATATAATTCCAACCTCTACCTTCGATATTAACGCCACAATGAGTAACAGCACCACGTGGTGGAACATGAGCAAAATGAAAGAGGAGTATGGACACGACGTGGTTGCACTGCATTCACAGACTCCCGTGGAGTACGCAGTTCCAATGCTGGGATATATCGGACCAGTCTTCATTATCTTTACTGTAATATTCAACACTCTGGTTGTTATCGTTCTGCTCAAGAAACATATGAGGACCTCCACAAATGTTCTGCTGACGGCGATGGCCGTGTCCGACACGCTTACCGGGCTCGTCATTCTACCTTGGTGCATGTACTACTACTCATTTCAGAACTACAAACAGCCGATGAGCTTACTATGGTGCAAAATCTATCAGTTCACGGAGGAACTTATACCGACTATATTTCACACGGCGTCCATATGGCTGACGATGAGTCTTGCCATTCAACGGTACATCATGGTCTGCAAGACGAGGCATGCTAAGAAATGGTGCTCAATGCATCGCGTCAAGTGGGGCATCGTGTTCATCTATGTCACGAGCATTCTGTATAATATACCCCGCTTCGTAGATATCGACTTTCTCATGGTGGAGGTGCCGTGGCCGATGCCGCTGGAAGGTGCCTGGGTCGATAAGCCATTCAAGGAACACTGCGCCTTTCAAACCAAATCGTGGGTCGTCGGCATTGAGGATATTTACTACAATATCTACTACTGGTTTCGGGTGGTTTGTGTTCATTTTGTTCCTTGCACTACGCTGGTTGTCCTCAACGCCTGTCTACTGAACGCGATGCGAAAGGCTCAGCAGCGTCGAAAGAAACTGATGCAGGAGAACAGATGCTCAGAGTCGAAGAAGTTACGGGACACTAACTGCACGACAGCCATGCTAATCGTGGTCGTTACCGTATTTCTGATCGTCGAGATCCCGACCGGCATAGTGTTCATTTTCCACATACTGGCCAACACATTTCAGATTCAGATTATGGAAGTCCGAGACATGAATGTTGTCTCACTCACGACGGCGTTCCTGATTATCTTAAGCTATCCGATAAATTTTTTTATCTACTGCGGCATGAGCAAGCAGTTCAGGAACACGTTCAAGCAGCTGTTCGTAAAAGGAGATGGCCGAAACTCGATCAACAGCACCAGGTATTCATATATCAACGAGCCCAGCACCCTGCAGGCGCGCACCGTCGACGAAACACATTTCTGATGCCGCTGCCTTTACACTAACTTTATTACCCTCGCTTGCTCCCGCTTCTCTCCCTCTCTAACTCATTTGATCCCTATCACTTCCTCGCCTTATTTCCCTCGCCATTCTCTCTCTCTCTCTCTCTCTCTCTCTCTCTCTCTCTCTCTCGTTCTCTCTCGCGTCTAATCATTCTATTACTGTCTTTCTCTCTCTTCGACTGCCTCTTTATTTCCTTAAGCTCTATTAAATCACCAGGGATTCTAATTTCGTTGAGCGTGCTGTCAAGACACGATGCAGCCGAGATGAAGCACCATAATGAAGAGTTGGCTGTCTTAAGTTGATTAGATGGTGTTACAAAATAATGGATACTGTGTTCGTACGAGAAATGGAAAATCGATGCGTGTCGCTGCAGCTTGGATTGATCGCTAATATTTTAAGGGTGACGACGCAGATTGCGAACATGAAAAGGGTTACGGAAACTATGCTTATAAGGAGGGAATTTGCGTGCAGGATCAACGCGAAATTTTGCATCAGTGAAAAGCGGAGGTTTGATTAGTTTGTTGTACAACAAGATGAATCCACGAGTAACATGCTCGTAGATTAGAATTTCGAATTACATTCGTGTAACATTAAAACGGACTTGTTTACAGACACTATTACCGAGTAAAAAATTGCAGAAATTAACGCATCGACAAACGGTTTATTAAGTATTTGGATAAAGCTGTTTATATTTTGATATCACTTTATCGACTTAAAATGCGTTTCATAATTGATCGCATAGGCGTTACTTTAATGGTGATCGTAAGTAGTAATGGCCAGAGTATTGAACGTTTATTGCTTTACGCCTGTATCTTTTACACAATATTGTATAATATACAACCGAATTGTAGACGGTTCTCGGTGTATCTTTGTCAGCGGATACATAGATTTTTCTATTTAGAGTGCATGTCATTTGTATATCTCCCAAACGTGTTCCACCAGAATTCCCACCTGTGCTTGCTTTACCTCCGCATATCTCGCCAGTTTTACAGCATCCACAAAGTACCCTGCACACATCTGAACGTAATGTATTATAGTACTTCCACTTCACCTTCTGTGCTATTGAGACGTCAATTCGTCACGTAATCTGGCATCCCTTTTGTAGCAGCAGTTAATCTGCATGTTGTCGGCAACGTCTTTGAATTACGCTAATTTAGTGGGTACTCCCGATATCATTTAACACCTCATATCATTTGCTTTTTTGTCCATCTTTGAACTGTACATGTGGGCCATGTTAAAGCTAGTTTTCTACTTGTGAATCAATGCAACAGGTTGATAGGCAGTTGCCTCCATTAGTGTGCCTTTGACATGACTAGACGAGTTAATTCTTAAATAACAGGGATGGAAAGACCTCAAGTCAGAATTGGAGTTGATCGTTCAGTTTCAATTTAATTTGGCCTCTGTAAAAACACATCAAATTATTAAATGTTTTGCTTGTTCGTATGGATTTAAACGTCTTCAGTAATGTGAATTAGACACCCCTTACAGGCACATAATCAACACAACCCCGCACGTAAGTTATTAGGGCCCATAAAAATACAATAAGTCAACAAGTCATAAAAAATAAATAAAATTTCTTGGCTATTTAACAAAAAGCCTTTATGACTCTAATTAATTTGCTTATTTTAATTGTAATGACTCTGAAACCGCATTTTGAGACAGTTGTCCAGCTTTTCAAACGAATACCGCGACGATCAGGAAATTTTCCAAAGTCGATGTTCAATCATGACAACTACCACCCGCAACCTTCCCTTTTTAACTCACGCGTACCGTGGCAATCTGCACTCTGCCGTAATCTAGCACTGATTCATGATTCACAAGTATAGAGGCTAACGTGCGTTCCGTGTTACTAATTCATGCTTTGTCTTTTGTCAAGGGAGAGAGAGTACTGCACGTTGAACGGCAACACAATTGAACGTCCTGAATGCGATGACGTCACTGCCCTGTAATGTCCTCTATCAGTGTCTGAAATAATTTCGTCTGCGCCTGACTGCAGGAACGCACACGTGATGTTCACAAATTGCATGACTTCTGTGTGGACGTAGTTGAATCACGCCCTCTAGTGCCGTAGCTATACCCTCATCAGCAGCATGAGACCCGATGTGAGTCGCTTGTATACGCAACCCGTGAATGGATGCGGTGGAATCTGCTTGTTGGAACCACTACGGGAAAAAAAAAACATTGGACGGTTACCGCGTCCATAGCGTTGTACTTGATACGTGCTGGTTGAATCGGTTATAGTGTTTCAATAAATGAACGTGCACATTACGAAACAAACATCGGTGCGCGAAATTCACAGTAAGTGATTGTATCATCATTGACAGACTCGGTCACAGCTATAGATGGGTATCGAGATAAGAGCATCTTCTACTCACCAACGGCCGACATCAAAGTCAGCAGCTTATAATGAGGAGGATTCATACTATACGTGAAATCGCGTCCCTATTCTAAAGCCTTTACAGTATATTTCGGTTGGTGCATGAATATAGAAGTAGTTAGGGTATATAATTATTTGAGCAGCGCATATATAGTCAATAGATGGCCGTGTTGTATTATCGGGCAGTCTCGTGCTAGCTGTGCATTGGCGCCATATATGCGCGGGCGGCTGTTGAATGGTCGCTTTTACAGATACCGCATGCCATTATTGTATAAACTATGCTCATCGCGACCATAGATTATTTTGTTGTATCCTATATTATATCGACTTTATGCCCATGCGATTCTAGATGAAACATCTATCATCGTTATATGGTCAAAGCTGACGCGGGATTATTGTATATGTTTACTAACCATTCCCAAAGCTCAGAATTCCGGGAGCGTATTGAAAAACTGAGACGAGAATGCGCAATTCGAATTCGGAGCTTGGGCGATGACAAGAACGAATCGTTTTACGCGTGATCATCGTTGATATGCTTGCAAATATGGCGGCCGAACGTGAATGTGTCTGTATGAACGCGGCGTTTTCGTTCGCTGTAAGAGTAGTTAAGAACACACACGCGAATGTCTGCCAATACATCACACTAATGCAGATGCGCACGCCCGCACGCGCGCGCGCACTTGCATTATCTATTGCGTCCTTTGCGTTTTGTATTCTTAGATGGGAATCAATCGGTGGCGTGTTGTCATCTAGAAGTTATTGTATGCGTATAGCTTTCGTTAAAATAACTCATATTGTTATGTCTGTCGCCGTCATCGCTACATTTACGCGTACTTCGAGGCGTATTCATCTAAGTATAAACCGAGTATTTGGCCTTCGTAAAGGTTAGTGCACATGCCTGTATCATACTCAGTGCTGCGCCAGCTACTACTTTCTGCTGTCGCGACTTACACACTACTTTACTTTACTGTCACTAACGACAAGCGAAGATCACCATATAACTATTAAACAATGATTGTGTTTCTGACTTTGTATCGACATAACTTCATCATTGACATTAGCTATATATACAGCGTTGAAAATAAGAAAAAAATCAGGTTGTCCAGGACAACCTGATGGAAGAAAGTGGTTGTCCTCAACAAAATTTGGTTGTCCTGAATGTTAATACTATTAACTTTGTGGGTGGGGTTATATACAATTACGTTTTGCACAGGTATTTTTTAGGATTGCAGAGGATAGTGAAAATAGTGATTTGCTGGGTCATGTGACCAAGAAAAATATTCAAAGATCGCGGCCGTCAGCGGTGCAACATGAAAATACTAGTTGTCCACAGGACAACCACCTGCAAGATGTTTGTTGTCCTGCATGATTTTTGGTTGTCAGGATCACCACTATTTCCAACGCTGTATAGTATATATATAGATATTGAAATGCCCGTTTTAATCGCTTAGTTCACCAACTACTGTAACGAGCTCAAACTCAAAAGCTGTGATTTTGCACAGGCGCGTAGGAATAACCGTTCGGAGCTTCTTCCGTCTGGATTCAGATACGTGTCTGACAATATTGCGTTATGTCTTGTCTACACTGTCTGATTCATTCTAAAGGCCCTTAATAAATATGTTAGCTTCGAATGTGTATATTTATTATTAGTTAGCATTGTGCGTGTTGTTCATTGACATCAATCGATGCGCACGTAGTATGTGCAAAGGTGCAGGTATCGACTCCGGAATGAAGTGCATTTCTAGACTGCGACAGCTACGTTCGGCTCACGCGTGTAACGGGATTCTGCCGACCTACGGTGCTGAACAGGTGAGAGACAGGTGGGCGTGTCCATCACACGTCATCAGAACGCGAACGGGTCGAAGCTTCTCGGTGTTGTGCATACGTACTGCTGCGAATATCCCTGTCACTATATCTCATAACATATATATGTACGTGCGGATACACGTGCCTCAGCTCACGTGTCGTGGTCGATCGAGACTATTATATCCTCGTGTCGCATTTACACGTGTAACCGTGCGTAACTAGTTAACGCTTGATATTTCGCCGAGTGCTCTTCATTTCGCGAGGAAGGGCGCTGCGTGTGTGTGTGTGGTGGGGGGGGCGTGCGTGCGTGCATGCGTGCGTGCGTGCGTGCGTGCGTGCGTGCGTGCGTGCGTGCGTGCGTGCGTGCGTGCGTGCTGTGGTGCTTGAGGTGCGTGCGTGCGTGCGTGCGTGCGTGCGTGTGTGTGTGTGTGTGTGTGTGTGTGTGTGTGTGTGTGTGTGTGTGTGTGTGTGTGTGTGACTCGTAAATGACGTAGCAGGCACCGGACGCGTTGAAACGTCAAGTGTATTAGTAGTGACTGTAGTAGCAGCGGTAAAGTTAAATAAGCACTTGCATTCGGACGCGAACTGTTTCGGGCACGCGATACTCTCCGGAGTGTCTGATTTTAATTCGCCGGTTTTTACGGTCGGCGTGCGTGCGGCGGATTGTCGGAGTTGCTGCGAGAGAAGTCGGCGGGAAGCGGAGAGAGGCACGCGTCTACGCGGCAAATTGGTCGGCGTCTGGCGCGCGACGGTTTTCTCGATCTGTCATGTGCATGCGTGCATGTCGTCTGCAGGGAAAAACGTGCTGTCAATTGTTGCGCCCATCTCGAATTAATGGGTTCGTGATCTCCGTTGAACGCGGGGTATGGTTCGCGCTGATATATCAACTAATATGGCTGAGTGACTCTGAACGATATGCTGCTGTATGCTGCTATTTACCTTCTATCTCGCGTGCTGCTCGTTGCCGAGCTACGTACACCCACGCGCAGGTGAGAGGCGCGATGTTTGAGCGAGCAATTTAAACCTACTTGTCGAGAGTGTAATCATGTAATATTCCTTTTGCTTATTTTCAAAACTAGCTGTTGCAACTATTGTCGCTCGAGCAATCTAAAATGCGTCGTTCTTCGTACGTCTTCACGCAACTGTCCTTCGCAGGAAGATGCAGCATTATGACATTACAATGACATTGGTGGGTTAACAAAATGAGTGTAGGGTGAAAAAATACTACATTCTTTTGAAAATGGCCTTATAATATTGTTAGATATTTGCTAATCGGCCTGGCGCTAAAATTACGCTTAGTCTTTCCTATAAAAATCAACCATTCTCTTTCTTTGGCCGCACTCGCAGTAACGTTAGTACTTATAGTTAGTACTATATATTAGAAATTTTTTTGAGTAGTTATGATCAGAGTTAGGTGACATTTGGCAACGGTACTAACAAGAGTTAGGCCTATGTGAAATCTCTTACAGGCTAACACGGTTCATACATAAATAGGGGCGACAAGGTCGATGTCTACAGTTGGGTCTACAAGTTATCATGAAATAAACGCGTATTTCTATCAGAAAAACATCCACGGTTGTAAACATGCACGCTGTGAAATGCGAAACTGTTCTATAGCGCATCTCGTGTTCTCATATCTACAGTCGAGCACGCACGCGCGCGTACACACTCACATATATACAGGCGCGCGCACGCAACTCACGCATAGAACCCACACGCGTGCACGGACATAAACATCCACACGCCCGCGTGGAGCGCACGCATTGAATGATCAAACACCTTAAATCTGAACAGTTACAGTCAGAAATTCATCGTCACTGTATCGGTGGAGAGGCATTGCATTTAATATGAATTATCCCATTCGAAAAACGTTCGCCAACATCTCGACGAAATCGGCGGCAACTCGTCGCATGTTTTAACCTTTGTCCGTCATATATTTTTACCGATGCAGTGTATCGTTGCTGTATCACTGGTATTCACTAGTTCAGACCCTTAATACGATTGCGCAGATATCCGAGTTCTCGCCACCGTGTCGCTCACTTCTACTTGAAACGATGGGATGTCGATAAACAGGTCGTACCGAATCGTATATGTGTAGGAAACTAAAAGAAAGTTATGTACATCGCTTCGACATTACATGCATAAGCAAAATGTTATAATTATTAAACTGTCATCATGGTAAAAAGTTAGTATTTACGGTGTAATAGTTCGGCTATATATATATATATATATATATATATATATATATATATCGTCGCCGCAGACGAACGGAGCGAGTAGTATGCGCGCCCGGCAGCGGGGATATGCTGGCTACACTGTAGATTACAGAAGCCCCCTCCTCCACACACCACCCACCACCACCTACCAACAACAACAACAACAACCAACAAACAACAACAACAACATCACAGACATTCACGACTGTACGACTATACAACAACACCAACAACAGCACCCCAAAGCTGATAATAACTATACGTAACGCAACAGAACATGGTGCGCTGCATCTCGAGTTTCGTTAGCTCATTAACGAGGGATATAGACATCGTAACTAAGCGTTGGAACCGTCATTTTCGGGGACGCGTGGTGAGTATTTTAATCAGTCGTTAACTTATGTCCCTGTCAAACAAATAATGTTCCTTTCTCTTCGTTTCATATATATCTTTAATATTGCTATTTACTTCCTTAACATTTATAAAATAACATGGATTATACATTCACTCGGAGTTTATTTTACTTTGTCTCGAAACTGATTATAATGGCAATCATTCCTTTTACTTTCCGGGACTCTTGGGAATAGCCTCCGCTTCAACCAACCCTCCTTGGTTAAAACGTTGCCTGCGCTACGTTATCGGTTTTCGAGCTTCGTCTGTGGGCATGCACTCGGCCCTTGAGCGCGACTCCCACGTCCGCCACCGTGTAAACTAACCGTAGCGTCCGCCTGGCCTCTGCTTGGTAGGGAATCTATGGTGTTTGCCCTTGTTCCCTATTCGAAACGAGTGTCCTAAGATCGACTGATCCTCGGTTCATCCCCCACACCACTCTCGCAAAGTCGCTTGTCTCAACATCTCCTCTCCCTCCTCTCCTCTCCCCCTCTCGCACGCTTAACATGTCCGTGTCCTCGCATCCTCTCTCTTCTCCCACGGCCTCCTCTTCCTCCTCGCACGCTCGTACATGCGTTGTTCTCTCTGGTTCGATCTTCCTTTCCCCCTGCTCTCTTCCTCCCCCCGTCCACCGTACATGCTGTCGGTTCTCGATCCTCTCCTTCTCCTCCACGCCCTCCTCCCCCGTCCACGGCTATATGCATGCGCGTTCTCGCATCCCTCTCCCTTCTTCCACGCTCCCCTTCCCTCCCCTTCGCTCACACGTTACTCATTGCCTGTCGTGCGCCTTTGTTCCCTCTCGCCTCATCCCCTTCCTCTTTCCTCCCACGCCCGCCTCCCTCTCCCCCTCCCGCTTCCCCACTTCTACATGCATTGCGCGTGCTGTCTCGCATCTCCCACGCTCCTTCCCTTCCCCGTCCCCCCACTCCCCTCCACGACATACAATGCCTGTCTCGCATCCTCTCTTCCTCACCTCCATTCCTCCCCACACACACCTTTGTGCGTGGGCCTGCATTACCTCTCCTTTCTCCCCTTTGCTTCCTTCCTCCCCCCTGTCCACGCTGTACCATTGCCAATCACAACAACGACATTCAGACATCGGACATCCACCACGACCGGCAGCCCTGTATACTGGTAACGCTCCCTGGCCCAACACACAGCGACGACGAACTTAACAAGCTTAATCAACAGCCACACCCTCTTCCCTCGCCTTCACTGCACTTGATTAAGAGAACACACCCTGTCGGGCGCGCGCGTTTCGTGACCTGCACGAGTATGAGAGCGACGTTCGAATACTTCTGATGGCCTACGTGGTATATACTGCTGTAACAGATATTAATACGAGGTGTTGGGAAACGTCCCGCGTCCTGGTCAAGTTGTGCGCCCTCATTCCTACCGGCCACTCTGTTCAAGCCCCCCTGTTCGCCCTCCTGACCTCTTCCCTCCTCCCCTCTCCATTATAATTCACCCTATCGCTACTTACACCCCCTGCCCTCCCGCGTTTCTACGTTGTTGCCTGGGCCATTCTTAAACCTAGTTCACGTCTATGTTTCGTTCAAAATATCCTCTTTGATTTTTTACTAGATTTTCGTTTTAACGAAATTTCGTATCTTCCGCTAAAACGTGGGTCTATGTTCAAATCTATTTCGTATTTCATCGCAAACGCGCCATAGCTTTAAATGTCATTGACGTTTAATCACAACTAAGGCATACCGACTGACATTTCTCCACTCTCTATACCGAGGTTTTTTCACGTCACTTAGCTGCCTATATCCCAGAAACCTCCATTATATATATAAATGGCCACTTCTGCCACGCAGCTTAGAAGAAACTATTTTCAACTTGCCCTGTACTGTTCTCGAAACGGCCTACACGGAAAGGTCCCGCGCTCCTTATCGCTCTGGTTCCGTTCCGTCTCCGTTTATCATCTGTTCCGGGTTCCGTTTCTTTTTTCCCAGCGCAGGAGACGACCTAGAACCAGTGTCGATGCGGCGTCACAGCAGGCTCCGCTCGAGTCGTGCCTAGGCGTATCCGAGTTGCCTTCCGTCCCGTCTCCCCAGATCAGCATGCTATGAAAAGACCACACGCAAATCACCGACATCTTTACCTATCCTGCTCACACACTTATGCACATCGTCACAGTCACAAGCCGAATAATAATAATAATACCCTAATAAAATAATTATTATTATTCATAATTGTTTTATAATATAATCTCTATCAATTAT